CTGCCGTAAAGTAAAACAGAACGGACTGCCGCGCAGTATACTCGTCCTTTTATTGATAGACGGATATCTCGCCTTCGCCAAAGGTGACGCAAGTCGGCAAAAGCCAAGCGAGCTTTTCGAATCCGTGCTGAGATTTCGTCAGACACCAACCCATTAGGGCTGATCAGACTTCCAAGATAAGTGAAGTTACCAACGCGTTCGACTACTTCACTCTCTATCCTTAGTTCAGGTGTTGACGCAGACCAGTCCTGAAGCAACAACTTGCATTTTGAGGGAGAGAAGCGCATTCCAAACATTCTGGCATTCTTGCTTAGTGCTACCAAAAGTCTCTGCATTTTGTCAGCGTCTTCACCAAACAGGACTATGTCATCTGAGTATTCTAAGTCGATAAGTGGACCTCCTGCATGGAGATCAATACCCGAGAACTCAGTCGACGAGAAAGTTATTTCCATCAGTAGATCTATGATGAAGTTAAACAAAAATGGAGAAAGTGGACAGCCTTGACGGACACCACTTGAGGTTGCAAAAGTAGATGACAGTTCGCCATAAGCTCTGACTAGACTAGTAGTGTTCGAGTAAAGAGCCTTCACAAGGTTTATGTACTTCTGTGGTATACCTTTCAGTGACGGACACTGCCACAGAATCTCGTGGTCTACCGAGTCAAATGCTGCTTTCAAGTCAAGAAAGACCACCATTGTCGGACGCCGATAAGTATGCCTGTGTTCTAGAACCTGACGAATGGTGAGTACGTGGTCGATGCAGCCACGACGAGGTCTGAAGCCAGCTTGATTTTCTCGTGTTTGCAGTTCACGAGTCTTAGTTAGGCGCCCGATAATTTTGAGGCTAGTATTTTAGATTCTATATTAGTCAAACTAATCCCTCTATGGCTATCACCGGATGATTTTGACCACTTCTTATATATCGGGACAATAAGTGATTGCGACCAATCATATGGGATTACATCCAACTCCCAAATCTTAGCTAAAATATTAGTCAACCTAATTGCTAAAATTGGACCACCATCCTTAAAGACCTCTGGAGACAATCCATCTGCCCTTCCCCGTTTCAGATTAACTATAGCCTTTTGATCTTCTGCTAGAGTTGGGAGACCTACTTCAATGTTCCATTCACACTGTCTGGGAATGGAGGGTAGTTGTAGGGTAGCTGCTGTCACACCTCTGTACAGTCAGCAGTACGACTTCGCCTTCGGACCTTGGGTTTGTTGCTTTTAGTCTTACCGCTCTTCAACCGACCTGTCTGACATGGTAGGACCTTGAGAAACGGTTGTTCCAGCCAGTATAGCTCGGTTGCTTCATCACGATAGGCAAGCCCGACCACCACGTCAAGGTAGCAACAACGGTCGGGTCCCCCCCAAGGGACAACTGCTTGAGGCCGGTCGCGCACGGCCTTTTCGTGGGAGGTTTTTGACGTGTTAGCTCCGTTCTTCAAAGGGCCTTACCGCCGGAGACGGAAATCCGTGAGGTGAGGTGAGGTGTGACATTCTTAGGGTCGACCTTTTCTAACCTTACCCCTCCTTGTGGGAAGGCAGCATCGCTGTTATGCTGGTTGTCTGAAGGAAACACCTTACTGCTGTCACACCTCTGTACAGTCAGCAGTACGACTTCGCCTTCGGACCTTGGGTTTGTTGCTTTTAGTCTTACCGCTCTTCAACCGACCTGTCTGGTATGGTAGGACCTTGAGGAACGGTTGTTCCAGCCAGTATAGCTCGGTTGCTTCATCACGATAGGCAAGCCCGACCACCACGTCAAGGTAGCAACAACGGTCGGGGTGATTGCGTCTCAAACCAGCGAGTTGCATCACCTCTAAAAACTCAACCAGGAAACCATGATAAACAGCTCTCCACTTCGTAGCATCACGCCATAGACAGACTGCTTCCTCTCGTTTCATCAGTTACGTCACCATCAGCACTCACATAAATATCTAGATTCTCAACCCTTTCAACTGCCTCGTTCGTTGCTGTTTCCAAATATCGATGAAAAAGTCGAAGAGGACGAGTGGAATTGGGCAACAGTGCAACAATATCGGTGACTACTGCATTGAAAATTGGTACTGGAAAGAAACAGGTTGTGACCTCCACAAAGCTCAAAGAGACAGTCACCTCTATCTGACATGGAAACAACGAGTCCCTGTTGGCTACCAAGCGGCTCTACTCTGTGTATAGACGGTCGACCTGTGCTTCGAATCCCCGGTTAGTACTACTATTTCTGTCGAATGTGCTTCACTGACATCGTTTATTTGATGGTGGAACTCATCCTCGATCGCATCTGGGCTGCAATCTGTGGAGACGTAGTCAAGGATCACGAAACGACATCGTCCCACATGCCAATTTCTATCCACTTTGGTGGTGTTTTGTAATCAAACAGGACACACGACTGACAATGAGGACCCGCTCGACTAGTATGACCTTTACCCTGGCGCTTTCCGAGTCACCGAGACCGGATATTAATTCAACAGGGTCCCCCAATAAGTCAGTTTGGATGGGATGTGATTTCGGGAAAGTTGCACCAAGAACCGTATTCGGAAGAATTCAAAATTTCGGACAGAGACTCGAGATCATACAGAAAAATAAAGGAACACACAGAATGGGAATAATGAGGCATATACAAGTCACGTAAAGTAAGAATGGATGTGACAAAACAACTGTGAATAACAATGAGGAAGGGCACCTTCCAATAGTAATTATCGTATTTTGTTTCAAGTGGGATACCATTTACGTATTATGGCTAAGGCAACTGACTTACTTAGTGAGTCACTCTCCGTGGCTTTGGTCTAGATGATTATCGACAAATCAGTGGAGCGACACAAGGAGTTAACATCCAATAATTGCGCGTGGCCAAAATCAGACTCCTACTTCGATCGTTCTTTCGAGGTCTGGAGCCGCGTCCTCCAAACTATATGGTTGAGTGCCTTGTATTCAAAAACTCAGTTCAAGCGCATGATAACCATTTCTCGTTCTCTCGGTTTAAACAACGCCTCCACCGCAAGAAGGCAGTAAGTAGGACTTCCTGAGGAGGGGTTGTAAACACATGACCTCACGAGAGCATTTTGATATAGTGATCTTACTTCACTTTCCGAGTGAATCAGGGCATTCGGGAGGTATTACCAATTAAGAAATAAGTCGCATTTAGTAATTATAACTACACAAACGTATGGGGAATCTCCGACTATTGGAAGCGTTTATTTTGATAGTACACAGAGCTACACGCCTCTACTCGCTACTTGTAAGGGTAACATACAGATGCGTCCACTACATATGAGGCACTTTCAATATCCTATAGAACAAGAAAGTGTATTTCTGAAACTTAGTGTGAGTCGCTCTAATTTTTTATCAACTGGTGCACTACAAAAATGTCACCTCATAACTATAAAAAAAATCTACCTAATGCCTGGTCTATTTCACATTATCAAGTCCTGTCCTCGTACTGAAACTTGGGGATTTTGTCACTGATGTCTTTTTCAATAACAAAATGCGCTAACCTGGGAAAAGTGCCAATTGCAAGACCCAGAGAAAGAAGTGAAATGACCAGTCGTATATTAAGTACAAAGCACAATACACTATAGATGCACGACAAGTCTGATGGAAGTGCAGTGAAATTATCATAATAAAGTGATTGATTCACCTGGGGAGTCACAACGTACATGCTCTGTTACCCATAGGTTGCAATTATTGTTGTTGCTGACTGGCAATTCAGCTTTGTCCCATACGTAAACTGTAAGTGTAGTAATAAAAACGAGGCGCAGTTTCGTCAGCGTTGTATACTTACACCTAATATTGGTCACTCATAAAAGTAGACGTCAGACTATAAGTGACAGCAGCCACCTACCAGTGTGAAAAAGAGGAATTATAAATTACACTTGTTTGGTAAACTAACCGTAAACTCTTATAAAATAACTTCCTGGGGAAGTTTTGATGATTTGACTACAAGTAACTAAATGTAAGCTGTCTACCACAAATTTCAACACCCCATAATATGAGAATTTTAGCTCTGCACGCATTTATCTCAAAGAATTCGACTTCATGGGTTTAAAGATTATGAAGCTCAGTTGTTTTAATTCTGATCAACAGTATAATTAATAGGATATTGGTGAGACTGATAGAACTATCTGGAAGACTATGGCATACAACATAGTCACAATGTACAAGATGACAAATTCCAGTACAATAACACGATCACAGTCAACATAACTCGAAAATCTCTAATGATTCTAAAATGCACTTCTATGCTAGTTACCAAGATATTTTCCAAGCATAACGTTCTGTATCTTAAACCGGTCGAACAAAAAGTTTTTAAAATCGTAGAATGGAGGTGTAAGATACCGAATTCAGAGATTAAAAATGAGACCAAATTAGGTAGTGGACATCAGTTAAAAATGTCTATCTTCGTATCTAGGTAATATTGGAACATAATACTTGGTTTCAAGGTAAATATCAATTCTAAATTAATGTACTATTCACGAGTACTTGGAATTAAAGTATACTTTGCTGAGTTACAGATTCACGTCTTAGAAGTACACGTTGAGATCGTTCAACGCCGAGAAGTTTACTGTTATCGAAAAAAATTGTTGACGCATAAGCGTATTTAACGAGTATCCAACCAATTCAGGGCCTAAACCCAATCCAATAAATTCATTGTATATCGTAGGGACTAATGATCTGCTAAAAACCACTACAAATAACTTTACCATGAATATACGTCACGGAGCTGGTTTGAACTTTAGCAGAGTAATTAACAAATCAGAACCAAATGCCTGGAATCTAAATACAATGCGACAGTGACTCCTGAATGTTTTATGAAGACGATAATATGACAAACAAATTTAATTTTGGCTCAAGGTTAGAAAAGTAATAAGAAACACAACAAACTTAGCTAAATTACTATTTGTTTCTGAAAGAGATCCGCTATTATTTAATCCTAGTCCTGTTAATATGTAGTTAGATGACTAGACCCCAAGAGACTATTATTTATCAAACATATGTACTTGATCAGACTTCAGAGACGTATTAATAGCCCAGACTGTTTGATGGCTTAATGAACATTAGTGGTATGAAGAATCCCTACAAGTAATATTGGTTTAATAAATTTAAAATATGTTCCTGACATCCCAATGTCGTTTTTATTGGTATACCTAAGAAAAACACTTTCCACTATTAAACTAATGTGCTCTGGTCGCCTCAAGACCAACCACAAAGGCTATCTCCGGCAAATTATTCGAAGCACCTCGAGGATGAAACTACGGTAACTACAATGGTTGGGAAGACGTGAAAATGCTTAACCTTATGAGAAATAAATTCAGCCCATATATCAAAGTACCTAATCAAAAGACACTTAACAAAACCAAATAGCACGTTACAACCAAATAGCAACGACAATCTTAGTAGTGAATACTAACATAACTAAGCACCACGTCACATCGAATCTGGACAAAGATATGGTAAGACTCAACAAGCATTACATAAGCATTTAGGATTGTCTCTTTAAAGTTAGGTATAATTAGGTTGTATAATGTTACGACCAAGGACTGGGTTTGATGTAGAAATATTTTCATAACGATGGCTGATGTATAATGATAAAGCAATTAGATTAATTTAATTCATTCAAGACGTTCTTGGCTCATCCTTACACACCGACAAACTTTTCTCTTGAACTCCGCAAAATCTTCCCTGAACTCCTTCTAAATACAAAGACAAATTAATATTCTTATCGAGGACTTACAGCTGCATCAACATTGGCAGGGCTGTCAGGATTAGGCTCAGCAAGCATCGAAATAACAGAAGTAATAATTGTTTCTACGGTATGCACAGGAAGCCATCTTTCCTCGGGCCTTTCGTAGCCCCACAGATCTTTCCCGGGGTGATGAAGAATAGAAATACAAACATCTCCGTCCTGAGCAATATTTGGATGCCAGATATCAGTTACGAACCGCATTTTAGGAGGGCGCTCGGGGTAGTCTTGTGGAAAGTCCAGCTCTGCATGAAAACAACCACCCTCACTAAAAACGAAGACTAGAATTATTGTGGCTTACTAAAGAGTATCTGGTGGACCAATAATAAGCACTCGCCATTTGAAAATATTGTCCTCATCAACCAACCCCGCTGAAAAACCTTCAGTTGCGCTTTTGTTCAGTTCTGCAAATGATTAAGAAAGGCGTGAAAGCCATTGAAATTTGAAAAAAAGTCAATAGTTATACTTATTTATAAGGTCAACTAACCATATAACTGTTTTTTAAGAGAGAGAGCAGATAATGAACTACACATGTTAAAGCTCTGGGGTCCCCGATGTTAAAAACCGCGGCTTGGAGTAACGCAAAAATTGGAACAAGAAACCTTGTAACAACATGAAAAATCATTTTGAGTAATGTTATTAATGTGAATCTATCTCTTGTTATAAACCGAAAAAGTGTAAATGTACTGAGAGGTGCAGAAGTCTTGAGTAAGCTGGACTCACAAAATGATGTATGAGACTATTTTGTAAATAAGCTTTTACTTTTGTAATGGAAATGAGTTGTCCGATCTTCTAAACGTACATGCGTTGTTGCTGGCACATCATGTTCTTCCTCCTCAGATATTCACTGATCATGATTTGTGCCTTCGTTTTTAGATTTCTCCTACTTCCAATTAGACGCTAGATGTTAGTTGGAAGTAGTCAACAGGAAACCATGGGCCCGGGTTTCGTGCTACTTGTCACTCGTCAGCAAGGTGTACCTGTAATCTTGAGGGACCTGGTTCCCGTGTCGCTCAGCTTCACAGTCAGAGACGTTAACACCGGGATATCCGGGCCGCGATCGACTGTACCGCGTAATTATCATCTGTGAAACAATTAATTGGTATTACATAGCTCGACCATGTAGGTTGAATCACCCTTGCTTTTCATAACGAACATATTATTCTCTTTCCAGATCAAATTTATTCTTCAGATGACCTTGACAGCAACTACTGACCGTCACTAATGGACGAGTCAGACTATAATTTTTATTTCCACGTATGGGCTAAAGGACTAGTTAGTCACAACATGGCAGTTTCATGAGTTTATATTACGTTTATTCTTCTAGTACCATAGATAAGTACACTAATACAGCATTTGACTTAAACTCAATATTAGTGCGCCAGACTTACCAATAAATGGTTCAAAATGGTTCAAATGGTTGTAAACGGAATAGAAGAAGCATTCGCTTAACAGACTTCCGTGTCTAGTAGCAGGGGATCGCTTAAACCGACAGGCAGGAACCTAGGTATATTAACAATAAAAGAGGAAAAAGAAATTGGTAAATCATAGTATGATATTATCCTTAATCCTTAAGAATAGATCAAGTTGCCTATTAAAGGACTCCTGGGAAGTTGCCTGGACTAGCTCGGCCGGCAGCGAATTCCAGCATTCGACAACTCTTAAGGAGTAAAAGTTGTGTCTACAGCCCGCTCTGCTATGATGTGTCTCCAATTTCTGGGTGTTACTCCTTAGTTTAGTGTTGGAACTAAGCTAAAGTAGGTGTTTAAGAGGATGTCCAGAATTGTTTAGGATAGGGCACCAGGACTCCTAAATCTTTTTCGACTTGGGATACTACTAGAGGGGAGTTTCCTAAGCTGTAGCTGTAGTCTGCGACATGTCGCAGATGGACTACTTTACACTTTGAAGTGTTAAAGGTAGACCCGTTATCGTCTGCCCAACTTTGACGTCCAGTCAGATCCTCCTGAAGTGCCTGTATATCGTCTTGGTTGTGTATCTCTCTCCAAAGCTTCACGCCACCGGCAAAAAGTAGTAAGTCTGACGTTACCTGTTGAGGAAGATCATTTATGTAAATCAAGAAGAGGAGAGGTCCTAGTATTGAGCCTTTGAGGACTCTACTAGGACATTCCATAGCCTGAGATAAAGTGAAGTTAACCCTGACTTTAAAATGTCGATTTTTCTGACATAAAGTGAGCCAATCGATTAGAGGTGGTCTGATACCCAGTCGTTTGAGCTCATTGATAAGATATGTATGGTTAACCTTATCAAAAGCTTTTGAGAAATCTAGGTAGATGATATCAATCTTCCCCTTGTGATCGAGGATGCTTGTCCGTCCGTCCACCGCAGTCAGCAGGTTGGTTATACAAGAGTAACCCTTCCTGTAACCATGCTATTGGGGTGAGAAGAAATTCGAGTACAGCAAATAACATTTATACCATCACATATCAGGGACTGCATGATTTTTGAAGGTATTGAGAGAAGAGTCACCTGTCGGTCGACCTCCTTTCAAAATTGGTGTGATGTGAGCCAACTTCCAATTTTCCGGTAGTTCGCCTTGGCTTAGCGAGTGTGAGAACACCATACTAAGCGGCGTTGCCAGGATTGAGGCTGCTTCCGTCAGTATGGCAGAACGGACCATATCCGGGCCAGGAGAAGTGTCGATTCTTAATAGATGCAGTTTCCGGAATACCAAGTCAGCGCTCAGGTTCACTTCGGAAAGTCCTTTGGAGTTGCAGATGAAACTGTCATCAGTATAGTTGATGTGGGTCAGTTGAAATGTTCAGCCAGAAGGTTAGCGGCGTCGCCGTCGTCGTTGGTCGAGCTGTTAAGACCTAGCAGTTGGGAAACTCCACTTTTGGCTTGACGAAGAGAGGCTGCATAACGGAATAAGCTTTTAGGATTAGAGGCAAATTTGTCCATAAGCCTTGTCTGGTACTGAAGCCTGTCATCTCTTATAGCCTTCGTGCATATGTTCCTTATATGTTTGTATTGCCTGTAGGCTCTGTCGTTGTCAGTTCGTTTGTACTCTGCCCAACAGTGCCTTTTGCGGCTTAGCAGGCGAAGAGTGAGGTTCCCGATAACTGTGGGTTGCTGATAGCTATGGGGGACCGTCTGAGGAACTGAATGATCTGTAGCACATATGGGCATGTGAATTAAGAAGTCCCAATGAGCATCCACATCGAGTTGAGGGTGAACATCCCAATCCACCTGTTGTAGATGGTCCTGTAGAGCTGACACATTCAACTGTTTGAAATTCCAGCGCAAGTTGTTGGTGGGATATCTTAGCTCACTTTTGCTGACGAAACTGAAGGCTATAACGGCGTGATTGCTTTTTCCCAGGGGAGCCAGGATTGTTAGGTTGTTAACTAGGAATTCTTCGTTTGTAAATACACAGTCTAAGCGCGATGGTGTCTGACTGTTTCTCCAACGAGTTGCCGACTTTAGATTTTCGTGTAATCCCAAGCGCTCGATGAGTTTGAAGAACTGAGCTCCAGTTGAGTTTTCACCTACAATATACGTGTGTTGCGCGAAATCGACTCTACGGAGATTAAAGTCCCCTAGAATCAGGATATGAGTGAAACTGAGACGAGTAGAGCGAGGTAGTCCTTCCAGCATGCGACTGTCATAATGGATGTCGGCAGTGGGATTCCTATAGATGATCCCGACTAGACACCTCAAAGTAGTAGGCAATCTTACAGAGCACCATATGGATTCCTCAAGATTGTTAAACGCGAGGTTTCGAACTTGGTGTACGTCCAAGCAAGATCATATGTATACGTCTAATAGACCTTCGGTTTCTGTTTTTCTGTCGTTGGGAAACAAAGACGTCGCAGGTATTGCTGGCTCCTAGTTCGTAAACTGAGAAGATATCCAAGTTCCAGATATTCCCATCAGATGAGCCTTGTTAGCTTTGGTAAGTTCACGTAGCTCATAAATTTTGTTTGGTAGACTTGCGGCGTTCACGTATAAGCAGTTTATGCTTGCAATTTGAAAAAAGTGAGCTTCTTCCTGTTTGTCTGTATGAGCTTTACGTGAATGGACAGGTAGCCTACCTATATAAGGTTTGCCGAGTTGGTAAGCCCTGTCTTTTACACGTTTTTTATGATCAAGACAGTCCACAAGTGGAGTATTCAGCTCCAAATTGCCTTTGTGCTTCATCTTGGCATCATGTGGCCTATCTGGGTGCACGTGGATTCCAGTTGGCAACCGACGTCTGCTTGCACGAAATGCCTCCAGAGTTGCAGCCGCCATATGGGAGGATGGGAAAGTTATCGTCATTAGTCTGGGTCTGGAATCACCGTCCTTCTTGGCTAGTCTCGTCACATGTTGAGTCAGTATGTTTTTGGACTTCAAGGACTGCTTGATGAATTTCCATTCCCTGATATCAGAGTTTGTTTGACTAGGGTCCGTGTTTTCCGGTACACCTTGCACAATTATATTTCTTCTACGGAAAAACTCGCGAGATTCTTTAGGGATGTTCCGGATGACATCGCGCTCAGAATACGGTATGTCTGGGAGTATTCTAACGTTCCCATCGGATTTCGGTAAATGACTAGCTAGCAGGACATCCTCTACGTCGGTAGCGTTCTTAAGTGTTACACGAAGTAGCCTCGGGTGATTTCGATGCTTAGATTCCTTCCCCCGGGTGAACCGTGTGACCATCAAAGGCTCTATTTTAGAAAGTTCAAGCTTCTTGTCCAATTCACCCCACATCATCCTGTCATTTTTGTCCTGCAAACTGAGAGTGAGGTCAGGGTTTTCTTTTGAGGTTCATGATTATAAGAGAGTCATCACGAACCGTTATTGTTTTCCCAGGTTTTCAGGTGCGTTCAGGGTCAGCACCTTGTTGTTTAGAGGTCGAAGCACGTTTCTGAATCCTAGGCTCTTTGATGACCCGACGGAAATTCTTGAGGGTAGATTGTGCGACCAAATAACCAGTTTATTTCCGTACAACACCTGGGATGTTCAGCTTAGACGGTGACGCCTGGGTTTTTTAGCTCCTTTAACGTGGGTCCAATCACCTACAGAGTTTGGGGAACCACTGTCGCATTCAAGGACCCTGAGCTGTGAGACCCGAGTTTACTGGGGAGTCGATTACCGTCGACGTGATGATGGTGCTGAGTTTCAACGTGTCATCATTAGTGCTAATGCATGCTCCATCGATGGTAGACCTGTCGACATCCCTATTCTCGTTTTCGTTGCGCGCTCTTGTTTGTCTACCTGTTTTGTGACTGTCTTTTCCCAAGTTTGCTGACAACTTACTCTGCAGACCTGTCAGCAGGACAAGGATGTTAATCAGCAAGACCACAGCGTCCGTGCTGCACGTAAAACATTCCCACTTATGATCCGACTTGCTGAGTCTGTTGTAAGCAGTTGCTGTGAGATCTGTGCACGCTTCGTGGAACCAAACTTTACAGTTGTCGCACCGCATGCCATATGTAACAGTAAAACGGCATCCAAGTCGTTTGCAAGAATTTTTCATGACTATATTGACGTAAACTGTGTTATAGATGCTAGCGAAAGCCTAAGACTGTAAAACATACACTAAAAAGCACACTGAAGACGGACAAAAATGGATAAAAACGGA